ACCGGGTGGTCACGGGCTGGCTGGGTTCGGTCCCGTGCCAGGCCTGTTGGGTCATGGCACGGCACTGGGCACGGGCTAGGTGCGACCGGGCCTTGGGACTAGGCGCTGTTGGCGCGGGCAAGGGTCACTGGCACTGGCCCTGGCACTGGCCAAGCGCGAGGGACGCGAGATAGACGCGTACCCGGGCTGACAGGGCACTGGGCGTGCGGCTGGCACGACCCAGGTGCGGCTGGCGCGAGGAAAGACACGGCCCGACATGACTCGGGCGTCTCGGGTGCGACTAAGGTCCCGGGCGACCCTGGGCACGCGGGCGTGCCGCTGGACACGTCCCGGGCCAACTGACTGCTCGGGCGTGCGATTTGGCACGTCCCGAGGCCCCTGAACCCTACCCGGGTTCACTGAGGCATGGTATGACATACTCGGGTGCGCTGTTGGCACGACCCGAGGTCACTGCGCGTGGCACAGGCGACTGGCGCGGGGTCGCGCATACATGACCCTGGGACAGCATGGCCGCTAGGTGCGGCGCATGTCCGTGATCGGCCCTTGCCGGCTGTTCGGCCACTTTCCTTGATCAAAATGACATAACTTGACATGATTAACAAATTTATACATACATGGGTCTGAGGGTTATGACAATAACATGAAAATTGATGTGATTGGCCACGGCGTGCGCGATGGGCGCGTCCGACGGCCTTAACGTGTACCCTTGACCAAACATGAACCTTTTTCGAGCAACATGAGTTCATTGACCATAATTTATCATTTAAAGGCTGTTGGAACATAAATGTCCCTAACAAATTTGATCACAATGAAAGATACCCTAATAAGGTGAGACACGGCCCGTGGGCGCGTACGTGCGCGGTCCACTTCCTTTAGCCATTTCATGAACAAAATGAATACTTATCTCGTGCTATCTTTTAAGACTGAACATTTAACATTAAATAATGACTAATAATGCATGGTTTGCTCGAGAGAAGTCGACTACATAAAGAGATGTTATAATATGGCCTAAAATGCACACCCGAGAGCATTTTCGAAGATTACATGAACTTAGACCCATAATTTGAACTTGGTATGATACGAGTAACATCATAACAGGGTTAGAATCATATTACCCTTTGATTGCCCGAAGAAAATTGACAAGAAATTGGTGTTGGTTCGGACCCTTTCTCTTCCCTTGCGCGCGTACAGTAGGTTGGATTAATAAATCTTAATCTTGTTTATTGTTTGCTTAAGGCATGCTTAGGAATTAGCTTAGTTTATAAGATGAAATATGTCCAAACGTTGGACTTTATAGGCGGTGAAATGGATGAAAATGCAAGATAAAATGCTCGGCCAATGGGCTCGTGCCATTTGCCGATCCCTAGGGCCACGAGGTGGACTTTTGGTGGCTTAGTCACCATTTATTTGGCACAAAAGGGCCACATGGCTAGGAAAGGATAAGTGCTCACGTGATTTGCCCCAAACTTCTGTCCACTTGTGCCCATTAAGCATTTAAGCACGCTTAGGGCTCGATTATGCGTGATTAACCTAGGTTAAGGTGATTAAGAAGAAATTAGGCACTCTAGCCGTGCAATGACCAATGATTAAGGTTATATGTTGATTAATTGAATCACTTAAGTTTAAATGAACATAATTAATGTACTTAAGGAATCATTAAGTACAATTATGCTCACGACTACGCACGATTAGCGCGAGATTAGCATATTTACCGCCCGATTAAATATGATTTGATTCAATAATATTTTTATCGGGGGATTGAACATAATTGGACTTATACTTTGGATTCCGAAAATAATATGAACATTACGAAACTAAGTACGTAATTTACATTAAGTGAAAATGGGTTATTACACTGTGCGTACCGCGTGCCCTGAGAGCCGCCTGTGTCACCCGCGCGCACTGCCTCGTCTCTACCGCGTACCACCCGTGCCCAGAACACGCCAGGACCACCCAGGACCCCCAGAGGCCATCAGCCGACCCTCAGACCGCGCCCAGCTCGCCCCTGCTGTGCCCNCCGGCCCGATCCCGAACCCGGTCCTTTGACCTTGTTTGACCCGTTTTCCGATTTTTTCCGAACCTCTTAACCTCCGTTGGCCTATTTGACTTGTTTTTAGTGTCGAGTCAATTTTTAAAGATTTTCAAAACTAAGTCCAGAGTCTAGCCTTCAAAACCTAGTGTTTCAACTTCCACAGAACTTCACGAACGGCTTAGTCGATAATGTTCGACTGAGTCTGATTATTCGTGATGTCCTTCTAAGGGTCAAGATAAAAATACTTATGAAGTATTCTTGACAAAATGTAGGTGCTTGACGAGTTGACCTCGCAACCTACACAGCAGACCGGTGGTATTTTCCATTCTGCTGAACTATGTGGGTTTTATTAAAATTGTCTATGCAATAAATTGTGCTTTACTTATGTATGATCAATGTGTGTGCTTATGAATCATGTAGCCTTCGATGTGAGCTGTACCGACCGTCGAATGGTTGTCCTGTATTTATGAAAATAAACCCGAGGGGTTACTCCTACTGACTGGACATCGATGGAAGCCCGTGGGGCGATTCAGTGTGTAAGACCGGAGGGTATAGATGTAGAGCCCATGGGGCATTCGAAGCATGACCCGAGTGAGGGCCTTCGATACATCTACCGACAGTAGTCTATTAGTATAGATGTGCACATGAGTCTGAACACTGTGAATTTATGATGAAAACTTGGGATACTTAATTGATTCTTATACATGCTGTGATCATACTATTTATGTTATTGTTATGTTATGAAAATATTTATTGCATAGTGGTGAGCACAACATTTTCTATATGTGCTCACTCCCACCTGAAATTCACATTTCAGGTTGAGCAGGGCAGGCATGACGACGAGAAGGGGCGAGTGGTGGTTGGTTCTTATGACCCGTTTATTTAATCATTGCTTCCGCTATTTTATGAATTGATTTTATGATCTTATGAAATTATGAACGCTGCGATTTTATGACGTTTGAAAAATGCCGGAGAGATGTCCCGTGAATCCTGTGACGAATTTTTGGAAAACCCGGTTTGGGTAAAAAGATGATTTATGATTTTATGAATCCCATTTTGGGAGTTGAATGATGTCATGAAATGATGATTGATGTTGACTTTAAGTGAGTAACGCCACAAGTGTTTTGAAATGAATTTTGAAAATTTAACTGATTTTTCTGAAAAGCCATGGATTTTCGTTAAATCAAAGTGAGGCGTTACACCGACAACCGCGACTTCTAACAGGCAACCAGAACTCGGTGAAACCCGACAGCTGATGGTTGTCCGCAACCCGCGACACAAGATGACTTGGGGAGGCGTGCATCAGGGCCAAGGCCATGCGGGTAAGGGCCAACCGTAGGCGAAGGGCCCGGCTACCTGTTGAGGAAGGCAAAAGGGCGAGGATGAGAGAGTCTGGAGGCGGCGAAATTGGGAGAGAAAATAGAGAGAAAATTTAGGAGTTATGTTAATTTTTTTTCATGTGACCATTAGTTGGTTAAAATTGATTTTTTTTTTTTTCATAATTTATTTGTATGTCAACCTTAGTTGAATCATTTTATTTTTTCCATTTTAATAGTGAAATAATTTATAGTTATATATCATGTAAACATTTTACTCAATGACCACTCTTATGTTTTTATTAAATGTTTTCAAAAATCAAAGGAAAAAAAATACATAAAAAATATGCTTTTGGTTTAATGTATGGTTGATTTTATTTAAAAAAAAAATTAAAATCTTAAATATAATGAATAAAAAGACAAATTTTAGCTAATAATACAGTAATAAATAGATTGAAGCTAGTTTTACATTATCGCATATCTCACTCTCAATCTGCCTTTGTGCAAGACTGACATATTCTAGATGATGTAATCTTAGATAAGGAGTGCATCCACTACTTTAATGACAAAAGATATGGTAAGGATCACTTAATGGTTGTTAAACTTGACATGTCTATAAAGCTAGTGATAGGGTAGGATGGGGCTTCATTGTCGAATTTTTCAAGAAAATTGGTTTCTCTGATTTATTCATCTCTTGGATTCTTGCTTGTGTTTGCACCTCTTCCTTCTCCTTTAATATCAATGGTCAGACTCTTGGTTTTATTCAGCCTACTAGAGGCTTGAGGTAGGGAGACCCCCTGTCTCCATACTTGTTTTATTTGTATCTGAAGCATTTTCCAATCTCATTAACCAAGCTGTTTGAATCATTCTTTTAAAGGGTTGATATTAGCAAGACACTCTCATGTGGTTTTCCATCTTTTTT